GATTTAGTGGAATTTTTATTAATGTTGGAATTAATTTTATTAATTGGAATTGATTAGAATATTGAGAAGGAATTGGGAAGGAAAGAAAATAAGAAGAGTATATAAGGAAGAAAGAAAAGAAAAGAAAAGTTAGAAACATTTGGAAAGAAAGAGGAAAGAAAGAAGAAAGAAGAGAAAGAGAGAAGGAGAAGAGGAAAAGTGGAAATCATCAAGAACCAACATCAAAGCTCCGATTAATTGAGGTAAGGGTGAGAAACATTGCTATTTAATCATTGTATGCTATTATGTATGTGGGGGTTGGATTGTGGGGTGTTTTCATCATTTTCCATGTTAGGGCAAATTTGGATTAATCGGTAGATTCATGATTTAATCGGTCGAAACTTGGAAATAAGGTCGTAGAATAGTCGGGTAACATGAGGGTATGTTGTTTGGCACTGATTTGCTGTGTAATCGGTTGGTTGTTGGTGAGTTGGAGGTTGAAGACAAAAATAGATTCTGTTCTGCGCAGGTTCGCTGGCTCTCGCCAGGTGAATGGAATCGAAGCTTCGCCGGGCGAAGCCTAGCGAATGCTGGCGAATAATTTTGAATTTAATCCCAGTGGACTTCGCTGGCAAGTTTGCCCGGCAAAGGGTTGGTGGCGAATGTTCGCCAGGCGAGCATGTTGGCGAATGGTAGCGAACCAAGTCAGTAGCTACTGACTTCGCTCACTGAGAAGTTCGTCGGGCGAAGGTCCAGCGAGTATTCGCTGCGAGGGTTCGCCAGGCGAATGGTGGCGAATTCGACAGCAATTCTCTTCTGCTGTGCTGTCTGTTTAATGATTATGTGGTTGATTCGAGTATGTTAATGCTCATATGAATTGGATAGTATATGTATTATTGAGATGAGATATGCTGTGGGTAGCCTTCAGGCGTGAATCCTAGACTTGTAATGTGAGTATTAATTTTATCAATTATAAATACATGAGAACATGATGATGATTATGTGTGTATTAATTGATGAGTTTGTGAATGTTTGAGGTTGTGTACAATTATGTAATAAGTATGCATGGAAACATATGATTGATATATGTGTTCATTGTTGTTGATTGTGATGATGATGATTATGTGCGTGTTGTCTAATAGATTTGTGAATGCATATTATGGTGTGCGATTAAACGTGGAATGCATGGGAACATATCGTGGATATGTGTGCATTGTTTGATAATGTAATGATGCTATTTGCAAATGAATACACTAATGAATATTGTAAATGTTATGTGTGCAATGATCAATCCATGTGATGTTTGTATTGAATTGTGAATGCATCCTAATTGTATGTAATGCTGGATGAATGCATGAGAACATATTGTAGATATGTGTGCATTGCTTGTGATTATATGTGGACGATGCATGGGAACATATGTGATATGTGTGCATTGTTATTGAGTGTGATGATGATGACGTGTGAAATGAATACATTGATAAATGTTTGATATATGTTGTGTGTACAATCATAATGAAATTCTCGAAGGGGTGAATTATTTGAGTGCATGGGATTAAGACGCGGAAACGGTCTTAAGTGCATTTATTGTGTTGATTGATTGTACATGCATCCTTCAGTCAAGAGGCAATGTCTGTTAGTTTCGTGGAAACTAGTGGCTTGTCCCAAACCTAGAAGGGTGGGTTTGAAGCCTAGAGGACGGGCTTGGTTGTTATCGGTCTAAATGGGTGGACCAGGTTTAAAGTAAAAATCGAAAAATGATAACAAGTTATCGGTCTAGAAGGGTGGACCCGGTTTAGAGTGAAAACCGAAAAAAGATAACTAGTGTTGGTACCACATAGCATTGAGTTGCATTGAGTATGTTGAGTCACATTGCATAATGTTATTGTTGTATGAAATGCTTGTGAATGATATGTTGCGAATGATTATGAAGTGAGCATGAAGGGATATGCTTGCGAATGCTCATATTGTTGATATGTGTGTTGCAATATCATGATGACTATGAGAATGAAGTGTGGTGAGAAATGTGAATTAATGTTATATGATACCTGTATATATATAAATACATAATCTTATGCTTTGATTATTATGGTAATATTTTTCACCCTTCTGCTGTTTTATAATGCTCTATGAGGCATTGCAGATTAGGTTGCTGGAGGTCTTTTAGAAGTTCTACTTGTAGTTTCGAGGTCGCAATTGGTGTTGCGGTTTAGTAATTATTTATGGGTCGAGTCATGCTCTGGTTGTGTAACACTGGGATCGATTGCTTTATGTTTTAGGATTACATTACGTAATCTAAGTTATGTTTTCATATTTGGATTAATTGGATTAACGAGATGTTGGCCTTAGTGCCTAGAGATGTTGATTTTATATGATGAAAGCAAATATTCCTTTTACGAAATTATCATTAATGAATCCGCTGCTAAATAAAAAAGTGTTTATGAGCATGATAAATTATTTTGATGTTGTGAAAGTTTTATGTGACGCCCTTTTTGGATGCATGTTAACTTTTACTCTTATTATGCATATATTATTTGTGGGGTTTAGAAGGGTGTTACATTAGTGGTATCAGAGCAGGTCGGTCCGTCCGGCCAAGTTGTCTAATGTTAATTGTTCCCTTGTATACGACACGTGTGTGAAAACACTGTCGATACCTGTTTGTTTTTTAACCTTGTCTGCAGAAGTGGGAATGATCTAAAGTGGGGGAGAAGTTGTGCTTCTCCAAGATGCTGCAGGTGTAGAGTTGTAGCTCGGTGGGTGGTTAACGCTCTTAAGGTTTGGTAATGATAGTCTATACTCCATCATGATTTTCGGCTGCCTATTGACAAATTGAGGAATTGATCACCCTTAATCTCTTGTTGATAGTAGTTGGAATTGTGTTGGATGGGATGGACGTGTCTTGCAAGCTTAGATGGCGTGAGCAGAGAATTGTTTGGAGCTAAGCCAGGCGCTTAAGAAGTGTGTGGACGAGTCGGCATAAGACAGTGATGAGATGTTTTATTTTGATAGAATTCAGAGTGCTAATGAAAGTGGGGAGTTGGCGGTTTGCCGATTAATTATGTTTGTTTGGGCAGTCAAGGAATTAAATTGATTGAGTAGTGTTGAGAATTGTGTCTGGTGCGTATGCTACGGCAACAGATTGTGGAGTTGAGTATAAGGGTGGATGATGACTTCTAGTGACTACTAAAGGAACTAAGATGTGGAATGCAAGGTTGGTATAATTGGACCCTTAAGCATTTTAAGAGTTGGAGAGGTGTTGAATGACCTTTTAAGCGTGAAAAGGTTGTTTCCGTGATTTTGTCGTAACGGAAAACCGTAATTCGGAATAACGCAAGATTAGAAGCGTTGGAGGATATTATAGTGCTCTATGTGATGGGAAAGTAGTGACATGGAATTAAGTATTTATTGGCGAAACATGTCTAGATGTTGTGGTAAGTGCGGTTTATGTTTTCGCCATGTGTTCACAGCTGGGTGTCCGTTTGACATGGGATTTTCCGCACTTGATTGAGTGAGTCAGTGGTTGTGTAACCGATGGTATATGAATATACTCGAAGAGTATAAGGGATCATGTGGAGCATCGGGAACTTGAGTTATCAGTGTTAGAGAAGAGGCGGTGATGTACTACTGTGAAGAAAGTTCAAAGAGTTTTGGGAAAGCTGTCAACAGTTCGTGTATTGGTTTTGCCAAGTCCGACAGAATTGTCGTTGTGTTTTAAGATACTTTGTTGATATGATTAAGAGATATGTTAAGTACAACATTAGTGAGTTTTGGTTATGCTTGAAGGAAATATAAAGTACAGAGAGGGATTATTTGACAAGTAATTTAGAGTGGGTTGTCGTTGTGTGTTTGTACCGGAGTTTGGAAGCCTCAATTGTTTAGTTGAGATTCGAGATGGTTATTGATCTTAAGAGCTTAAGGTATTTGTTTGATTTTAAAGAGTTGAATATGATGTAGAAGAAATAATTGGGACTTCTGTGAGAGTATGGTTTGGTTGAAATTACCATTCGAATGAGACCAAGTGGTAACTGAGACATCGAATGGGGAGTTTCGGTATACACTAATGAAGACGGTAAGGAAGTTAGAACTGATTAAGCAAGTTCAGATAGGAGTTCGGTCCATGAAGAGACTTCTTATGGAGTTGAGCCTTGTATGTTGAGATTGACTTCTGGTATTTTCGATGAGGTTCGAGGAAATCGGAATTCTGAGTTGAGTTAATATATTAATTGAATTCAATGGGTAAAAGTCAGGGAGCTTATTTTCGGATTAAGGAAAATGGTATTATGAGACGTCGTGATGGAGTGTGTATTCTGAATAGTGTGAGTTGGATAAGAGTGCTCAGGAAGAAGGACATCGAGATAGACGGAGTATCCATGCAGGTACTAGGAAGATGTGACCGAATTTGAGAAATAGTTTTGGGTGGCCATAGATGGAGAAGGAAGTGGTTGAGTTTGTAGAAGCTGATTAGACTTGCTGAGAGCCGAAATGTGGACATTAGAGGCTGTTGGGTCTGATACAACTATTGAGTATTTTGAGTGGAATGGGATGGTATTCCCATGGGTTTTGTGTCGGGTTTTCAGAAGAATTTGAAGAAGTATGATCCGATTTGGACAGTTAAGAATGGATTAACAAGAGTAACTCGTTACCTACCAGTGAAGATGAATCATTCTGTTAGATGGGAACTCAAACTTTTCGTTAAGATAGTGGTGTGCGAGTCGAGTCTTAGGATGCTCTGATACGTAGCACGAGACTTGGGCGTTTATGTGTTTTCATGCTTGAACTTGTTTTATTTTCCTATGACGTATCATGTTGGTGAATTTTATTAATGAATATTTTTATGTAATTGGCGAGTGGCCGTGAATGATGAATTAAGAATATTTTCTGCTGCGTTGTTTTGAAAACTATATAATGAAGAGTATTTTGGACTCATTGATGTGATATCCCACTTGTGGAGAAACTCTGATATTTACTTGATTTATTCGTATTTTATTTTAATTTGGGAAGTGGGGTGTTACACTAGGTATATGAATGAGTTGACAAAGAAGGGAAAAAGTGTCCCGACGAAAGATGATTGGAAGCATATCAACTTAATCACTCCATTCTTGAAGTTGTTTTATGATGCTACAATACTCATATCAGGGTCATCTTATTTGACAAGCAATATTTATATGTTTGAGGTCCTGGGTATTGGAAAGAGCATTGCAGATATGTGTGCGACTGAAGATAAACATCTATGTTCAGCAGCTCAAAAGATGAAGAAGAAGTATGATAAGTATTGGGAACCTCATGAGAAGCTTAATATGATGTTGTTGATTGCTCTATTTTTCGACCCTAGGCGCAAGATTAAATTGGTTGATTGGATGGTAAGGTTGTACTACAATAAGGATGATGCCGATGCCTTGAAAGCAAACTTAGATTTCTACTTGAAATCTATTTATGACGAATATTGTGCTGGATTTATGACTCCTCAAGGTAATTCAGATGAGCCGCATGTTTTTGGTAGTGTTAGTCATCCTTATGGAATTGCTGAGTTTTATCTTTCAGAAGGGTGTGACAATGCAGATAATGAGTTAAGTACTTATCTTGGAGAGAAGTTGGAGCATAACATGGAGATAAATATTTTAGAGTGGTGGAAAGTTAACTCTGGCTGATATCCCATCCTTGCAAACATTGCAAGAGACGTGCTGACTATACCTATAAGCACAGTGGCGTCTGAATCTCCATTCAGTACAGGAGAAAGAGTGCTTGTTCCATATCGCAGCTCGTTAACACCTACAACAGTTGAAGCACTAATTTGCACCCAGGATTGACTCAAAGGAACATCTTCATCCTTAATTACAAATGAAGATTTTAATATTCTTGAGAGATTTGAGCAAGGTATGATAACTAACTATATTTCCTAATATATTATTATTTATTATACTTGAGGCATAATGAAATGTCTTTATATGTTTTGTAGAATTAGTTTATACAGAAGATGGTGTTAGCTGTTCAACCTCTTCAACCTCTGTTGCATTCGAAGATGACTTAATGGTATTATTATTAAGTTTACCTTTTATTACCCTTAGTTTTCTACTTTTTAATTGGAAGACATTGTTGTTACCCTTGGTTTTCTACTTTTTAATTGGAAGACATTGTTGTTATGTTGTGACAGTGAGTAGAAATTTTCATTCAACTGGTGTGAAGAGGATGAGAGATGGATATGACATTCATATCACATGTACAACTTGGACAAGATGAAGCATCAGGGGTTGAAAATGTCTCTTGCAGTGTTCGCTGCTCTCAGCATCGGTGTTGCAGTTCCTGTCTTTACAATAATAATTTGGTGGATTTGGGAATCCTAGACTAGCATATTGGTTTTAATGATTGTTGTCTTATTACTTTGATTGTGTTCATGTTTAATTTTCTATATGGATTTTCCATATATGTAATAATCAATTTTTCTGTACTGCCAAATACTCGTGCTTGAACATTTTCATTTCTTAATACAAAGTATAGAGTTAAAATGTTTCAGGTGGTTTATTAATTATTTGATAGTTTGCAATAAATTTGATTTTTTTAAAAAAATTGGTTTTAAAACTTGTTTTTTTTTATAAACTTGGTTTTAAAACTGATTTCTTTAAAGAAAATAAAAAACTGGTTTTTAAAAAAACTATTTTTAAAAAAAAAACGGTTTGAAATTGTACCAATCCACTTGTAAATCGGTTTTAAAAAAATAAATCGGTTTTATTTATAAATGGTTTTAAGAATCAAACCAAATCATATATGTAATTTGATTTGTAATCCATGCACACCCCTAATTTAACCTCCTTATGTAGTATCAAATGGGTAATCAGAGCTTGCAAGTTGAACATTAACATCAACATTATCATAAATTAAATAGAAACAATATCATGAAATACTGGACATATTGTTTATTTTTGTTGCACCTTTTTGGCCAAATGCTTTCATTAATATTAAACTATCTTTCTTTTAAGATCAAAAGAAAAGCTTTGCACCATATTGATTTTTGTCCTTTTAAATGAGAAAAAAATTAAAGATTAATATTATAACTTATTCTTCGATAAAATTACTCATCTACACAACAATAAAATCATGATTAATGGTGTAATAAGAACTTACATTCGTGTTTCAAATAAGATCAATCACAAAAATAAATGCTCCAAATCTGCTTTATATTTTTCACATCAATGTCATAAAACTTGATTGCAACCAAATTATAAATCCTCCAAATAAATCACAGAACAAGGAATTAATATCTACATCAATGTCATTAAATTTGATTGCAGCCATAGAACCTACTTTATATACTTTCATTTCTCTCTGATACAACACTTGCTCCATAAAGACCAAAGTCCTTTTGCCTTGTGAAATTTATAAGAGATTTGTAAGAGATAAATTTGCAATATGTAACATAAAAATTTACAAGATTACAAGAGATAAAAATAAAACCAGCAATGAATTAGTAACCATAAATTGAATAAAACCAATATGAGATATTGGCATATGAAGATTGTGGAATTCAAGAGAAAACTCATGCCTCCAAGTGTAAGCTTCAATCTATATTTAAGCTAACTTAAAACTAATGTTTTAAAAACCGGATCGGACCGGCCGGTCAGACCGAGAACCGGCCTAGCAACCGGTCTGATTTACTAGTTCGATCGTTCTTGTCATCAACCAGATAAAAACCGGGGAAAACCGGGTTGGACTGGGAAAAACCTGTTTTAGGGTTGGACCGGTTCTAATGCATTTTTTATTTTTTTAATTAATTTAAATGCAAAAGTTATAAAAATTAAAAAATAAAAGTTTCCAGGTCTTTCTCCACCATTCGTCTTTCTTTCTCCACCACCGTGCAAGTTTGTTCTCTCCGCCGCAATATACCAACGACTCGCCATTCCGGTTTCTGTATCATTTCAAATTTCCAGGTTCAATGCTCCTCTCTGTTTTCATTTAACTTTGATCCGTTGAAATTAGGATTCAATGCTCCTCTCTGTTTTCATTAAATTGTTGAAAATTAAATTAGGGTTCAATGCTCCTCTACATGTTTGATATTAATCTTCTGATGAAATTGTTCTGTTGAATTGATTTCGTATGAACCCAGAAAGGGTTTTACATTATATTCCCATGTGTTTTCTAACAAGTCAGCTCACTCTAACATTTACCATTGTGACTCAAGGTAGGTGAATGAAGGAGAGAAGATTAAAACTCTTAAGTTAACTTTGCTTAAGTTATTTCTACAGTGAAGGTTGCAGAAATATGAGCAGGTGTTGTTGTTATTGTTGCTCAGAGAGAATTGCGAGAACTCTTGAGAATTTGAAACTCTAAATCTGAGAGTGAGGGAATGATTATATAAGGCTTTATTTCTAACCAATTCGGGTAGGCTATGGGCAGGGTTTGTTTGTAGTTCGGGCAATTAACTTTTGTTAGATTTCTAAGGGAAATTTTGTTAGAAACTAGTAACGGTCTTAGCTTCTGTTAAGCCTAGTTGCAGTTAGATTTATGAAATTGGATTTAGTTTAGTTCAAATGTATCTGTTAGGAATCAGCAAGACAGTCTTAACTAGAAGGAAGTTAATGAAGTTATGTTAATGAAATTGAATTTCGCTAGGGGACCCCTGTTAAAATATGCAATTGGTCTAACTTCTGAGTTTGTGTAATTGAAAATGTTAGAAAATTGTTAATTGTTGTTATTATCTATAATTGATTTGTTTGATTTGGTGTAGAGAAATTGTGATTAAATTTTACTGAAATTGAAATGCTGACAATTAGTTATGAAGTGGTTTGGAATATCAGTTACTGAAATTGAAATGTTGAACATGTTAGTGATTCTTTTTGATGCTGTGCATTTCAAATATTACCACAGATAGTCAGATATATTCTGGATCTAATTTTGATGCTGTGCATTTTACATTTCACTTTGTTCTACATGCTGCAATAAGTAATGATTCTAAGTAAAGATTCTAATTGCTTTTCTGTAAAAAAAAATATACTTATTATCGAAACGCTTGCATTTTTTAAACATTCCTTGTATGATGTTATCATCGAATCCTCTATCTTTGAAAAACCACATCATGTTACTACTGTTATTGCCGCTACTGGTTTTCATTTTACTCTATAAATTGTTCATTGAAAAAATATACATTTAGTTTACACAATTTCATAGTAATGTATTTGCGTTTTGTTTTGAATTGATATGCATTTCAGTTTGTAATATAATTTAGAGTTCATGAATTCTATTACAGGTTCTACATATAAAGTTTGAAATTTTCATTGAGTAAAAAAAATAAGGAAAAGAAGAAGGGAAATGAGGAAATATATTCTTTAAAAAATATAAAGATTCTAATTGCTTTTCTGTAAAAAATATATATTCTGTTTAATGAAATCTTGAACTGTTTTGGAAATATATTCTTTAAAAAATATAAAGATTCTAAATGCTGATAAAATCTTGAACTATTTTGAACTTTTGATGGAAAATCTTGAACTGTTTAATGCTAATACGTGAGACTAAAGTGTATTTTAATGTAACAATTTTGAAATGTTTTACAGGAAAATGGCATCTTCTGAAACACCACCATCACAACCACCATCACAAGAAGCTTCTTCAACTCCTAATTTAGTTCAACATAATGTTAGACAAAAGACTGATATAGCTTGAGTACATTGTACTAAAAGTCCTGATGGAAAAAGTCTTGTTTGTATCTACTGTCACAAAGTGTTTGGTGGAGGTGGAATTCATAGGGTAAAGCAACACTTGGCTGGAGTAGTAGGAAATATTGAAATTTGTAAGTCAGTCCCTACAGAAATCCGTTTTCGGATGAATCAATATCTTAATGAGCAGAGCAAGAAAAGAAAAACTCCAGATGTGGCTGAAAGTGAGTCATTTTCTACAGAGGGGGTGAATTGCAAATGCAAATGCACCCACGATTTGGTGCATCTAAAAAGAATGATGCTCGCATTGGTACTTATTTTTTATCCAGAACAACTCCGGGAGCTCAACCTACTTTAAAAAGTGTGATGCAAAGTAAAGAAGTGGTAGAAAAGTGTGATCTTTCTATTGCGAAGTGGTTTATTGATGCGTCTATTCCTTTCAATGTTGCAAATTCGCCTTATTTTCAACCAGCAGTTGATGCTCTTCGTTGCATGGGTGTTGGATACAAAGTTCCTACTATGCATGCTCTTTGTGGTAATTTGTTAAATAAGGGGGTTGATGACGTGAAGATACAGCTAGAGCAATATCGTTCTATTTGGAAGGATACAGGTTGTACTCTTATAGAAGATGGGTGGACTCATCGTTGTAGAAGAACTCTTATCAACTTTTTAGTTTATTGCCCCAAAGGAACTGTTTTCATAAAGTCTGTTGATGCCTCTGGTGCTTCTAAAATGCAGACACATTGTTTAAGCTTTTCAAGGAAGTAGTGTTGAATGTTGGCCCAGAAAACATTGTTCAAATCGTTACAAATAATGCTGCAAATTATGTTGCTGCTGGAAAGTTGTTGGAAAAGGAATTTCCTAAGTTGTATTGGTCTCCTTGTGCAACACACTGTATTAATTTGATGTTACAAGACATGGGGAAATTAGAGGAAGTAAGTGGGGCAGTGTCACATGCTTAAAAAATTACCAAATACATATATAATCATTGTTTTGCATTGTAT